CTCTTTCATTTCACTCCCCTTTAAGCTGACATACTCTACGCCTGCCTGGTCGTCTGGTCTCTTAAACCTGCTTTTGGATGAGCTGCAAGAACAGGATAGACTCTTGAGAGAAATAATTACGATAGTTGTTTGATAGCGTGGCTGTGAGCATGTTTAAAAAGCCAGTTGAAGGCTTAGATTTCAGGAGGACAGTTCTGGAGCTTTTTACTGGTCACTCTCTGGAGTGGAAGAGGTCCCCTTTATTCTGTTCTAGTAGCACCTGACATTTCTAAACTCGTCCTTCTAGTATAAGATCTGTTTTTATATGTCCAGAGTAGCTGACAAGTCCTGTCTGCTGCAAAATTACTGTCAGTGTAGTCAAGGCCATGCTATCACCTGGTAAAAGTGGATGTGGACCAGAAGGGCATCAACCCTGAATATGAGAACTCCTTTAAAAATATAGTCTTCCTCTTTTTTTTTTTTTTTCCCTCCAAAAAACGCACTTTCAACAGAATCTGACAGGGGCTGCATCCAGGGATTAAAATGGAAACAGAAAACATTTATGCTGCTCTTGAGGTGGGATGAGCAAATTAAAGTATTTCTGGTTTTAGGGACCTTCCTTCTGAAGCAATAGTGTGGGTGTTGTTTTTTTCAGCTGACATGCTGATGAAACTTTATACCTTTGTGGAACAGAAATAATTGTTAGGAAAGTCAGAAATTCTCTCAAAATGTATTTTTGACAAAAATAATTTGGCTGCTCCTAACAGAGTAGTTTCAAGTGAGCAGAGTATGCACATTTTGAAAGTTGTAAACCTTAATTATACTCCACAACTTTGCCATTCTCCTTTAACTTGCCTAAGCCCGCTGGCGCACAGATTTTATGGCAGCCTTTCCTTTGAGAAGCAAGGAGGTTTTGTGTCCTTCCAGGATGAGAACAGATTGCCTCCAAAGCTGTGCCAAGCTCCGGAGAGCCACGGTGCCGTCAGTCTCCAGAAGGCGACTGATGCTGTTGGGCTTGCACAGGGAGAAATCACGTGGCTGGCGGGAGCCCGTGCCTGGTTTCACTTTCAATGAGGCCATTAGCATGGTTATGTAAACAGACCGTGTCTGCCACTCATTAAATAATGACAGGAAAAAGCAAGGAGATTTATATTTCCGCTGCTACCAAAGGGATATAATTATAGAGTACCTTGGGAAAGTTACAGCTGGGAAGGAAAAGTTGCAGCCTGAAGCACAAGTGTGTAAGTTAGTTACTCAGTGAATGCAATACAGCTGTTACATGTAAAGAGCACACACTGGGTAGTGTGAAAGCTTACACAAACTCCCCCCAGCTCTTGCCTTGGTTGTGAAGCTCATTTTCTGTGCCAGTAGAAAGCAAAATGCATCCTTAAACAAAATCTCTGATCAGACTAGTAGCCTTTTAGAACATAAATATTTGCAAATGTTTCAAGGGCCTAAGCAGCACTACAGTCTAAATACATTAACGAGATAAAAGGGAGGTTGTGTGTCAGTCCAAGACTCCCTGATGAGTTTGTAATCCTATAAAAATAAAACAAAGCCGTCAGTCATCCAGCTTTGTGCTGAAATGTCCCTGCTTCTTATGCTGTCCATGAAAGGAGATGGTGTTCAGCAGTTGTTTGTGGATGTTGTGTTACAAAAAACCAATACACCTCTGAACAGAGTGGCACAAGCTATTTTTTCTTTGTATAATGGTCTGTAAGTCTCAGTACAGCTTCATACGTTACAAACACCACCATGTTCACAGGAAAGGCACGAATGCAGTTCAACCCCAGTCCTTTGAAAAGCACTTTTGCACCCTCCTTTTTCACACTTTCTCTAGCACAGTGGACAAGGCCTCTGTACTTGCGCTGGTCTGATTCATCTGTTTGCATCCGTGATTTGATGACATCCATGGGAGTAGCTAATCCCCAGGCCAGGACTCCAGCGAAACCACCAGAAAGCAGCACAACGAGGAAACCTGCAGGAGTGAAGGGAGGAGCAGTTAACTTGAGCCTTGCACTGATGCGGCTACAAGCATCTCAGATTAGTTAGCTAACTTGGTTAACTTTTTTTTTTTTAGCCGTTATTTTGTCCACCTCTTACAGTTGGCAGTTTTCAGTGATCTCACACAAACTGTGTGACCTCTCGATTTCACAGCTTACTCGTTTGTGCATACAGCATGCTGGCTCATGCAGAGGCAGCATCTATTTTAACACTGCGCAAACCAGATGTGATGCAGCCTGAGAGCGCTCACACCCTCTTCAGCTGGGTCTACTTCTTTTTATAATTCTCAGGAAGATGCTCTTTGCTGAATATCACCTATTTGATCTTTTCTCAAAGTGGATAGTTGGTTTTTTTGGAGCCAAATCACAACCAGGAAACTTAAGTGTCTTTACATTCTGCACCTGGGCTTTATTTTCAAGCTCTGGACTGACCCGGATCCATGCTCCATGGTAGCTCCTGGGAGGTTTGTCCATGTTTCATTTCTAGTTACATAGCCTATTTCTGCATTAAGAGGATGTCATACCCGCATACTAGGCACCAGAACATGCTGTGAACACCCCTCCCGCAGGGGGAGGAGTACCTGCGGAGGGATAAGGCTGTGCCGGCAAAGCCCTCGCACGCAGGCTGCTGGCACCCACGCCGGGAAGGCACAAATGGCCCCGTCACGCCAGGAAGCAAACACACAGCAACCCCGCACGAGGGCCGGATCTGGGTGAGGTTTTATAGGTACGGGGTGATGTTTGCTGAGAGCCTGATTTCCCTCTTAGCACGGTACTAAATAAGCCATTTTTGCAGGTAATGCCAGATGCTCTCTGATACCTACCTGGTTTATTTTTCCCAGCTGGTGTGAGCCAGTCGCACAGAGCAGAATAGGTAAGGAAATATATTGCAGAAGAGGAGGAATCCCTGCAGAGTAATGCAGAGCAGCCCTTGTAGAGACCCCCAAAACCTTCGTCCTTGGCGATCACCTTCAGACAGTGCAGAGATCCTTGGTACTTTGGTTTGGAAACAGGCTGGGGAGATGCTATGATGGAAGGATGTGGGTTCCTCTGAGTCTGCATGCGAACTTTAGCCACTTCACTAGGGGTCATCAACACAACCTGTAACATCAGAGGATGGTATTTTAACCCTTCCCATTTAAGCAGTGTTTTGATCCCCCTCATGCAAATTCCTTGTCTCCTGCCTTTTCAGGCAATAATATTGCCTGAAGCCAACAAGTTCCAGCCTCATCCCCTCTGTCTGTGCTAAATCCCCCCCAGCGGCAGCAGGACATGCATGTGATCTGCACTGTGCAGAGTGGAAGGTGAGGCAGAAATCAACAGGGGATATTAAATACCTGTAACAACTTATTAAACCAGATAGGCATGGAAAGGGGATGTCCTCAGCTATAGGGTAGCATACATCAAGTCTCTTGTATGTATCTGTATTTGGAATCAGGGCCATAAAGACTTTAAAAAAATTAACCTGTGTTAAGTAGAGTCATTGCCTGCTAGGAAACACCTAGAAACCTGACCATCTGGACTGCTCTGTAAGAGGATTGCCTGTGACCGAGCACGCATTTCTGCCCAGCACGCCATCGAGGCGCTGGGGTGAGCTCCGCCGTGTTTGCAGCGCCCGCAGGCGCTCGCAGAAATCCGTCTGCTTATCGGAAACTGCTCCTGCATTCAGCCTCACCTCCCTGTCCTGGCCCATGCATGTTTGCCAGGCAGCATCGTTGGCCAGTGATGCCCCGTTGAGTTTTGAGTCCTGACAAGGCAGTGCTGTGTACTGCCCATTTCAACAGCAATGCCGAACAGCCCTGCAAGCAATCACTCCCTGGACCATGTCACCATCCATCACTGGCATGAGCTAATTTTTTCCAGGTGACAGGCTGCTCCTGCTGCCCGTGACCCCACAATCGCCAACCCCTGCTCAAAAGCTGTGGGTGAGGAAGGGCCTTTTTGTCCTTTTTTGACACATCAATAGATGTAGGCAACCCTCGGCCACGCTGGCCTGCAGCCAGCCAGCCCTCTCCCACCGCCCAAACACCAGCCTGTGCTTTACACACTGAGTTACGTCTTCCTTACATAAACATACCGTCAGAGCCACTTAGAAAGTTTGCTGCCCAGGTTGGTGTTCTTCCTTTTTCTGTGTTTGCTGCCAAGGTCCATGTCATTCTTAATAGTGTGTTCTTAAGAGTTTTGGTGCTCTAAACCAAACCTGGCATGAGCTGCCTGGCAGGAGTCGGCCACGTCGTGGAGCCAACCAGCGAGGGAGCAGCGCGGGCAGAGCGTGACTCCCGGCGAAAACAAACCCGCTGGGCTTGTTGCAGGCTCCTCTGTGGCCTCCCGGACAGAAAACATTCATTGCTTTTCCAACTTCCTATGTTTGTGAACAAGATCTCTTGTTGTGCTTTCTCTTTCGGCTGTTTACCTACCCGGGCAGCACCAGCAGCGCCTCCGGCAAGAGAAACATCCAGCTTGGATGGCTTCGCATCTGCAGCCCCGTATCGCAGCTTGCAGATGGTACAAAGGAAGTTTTTGTACATGCCAAATGAAACAGAAGAAATCACCGATACTGTGAGAACTGATGCAGACACACCCTTGTAAAATCCCCAAACCTAGTTGGAAACAGGAAAAAAAACACTTTTAAGAAAGAATAGCATGAGAAAGCACCTGCCCAAAAACACTGGCCATACATCGCTGAGCCAAAACTTACTCCCGTCTTACAGCTCATCGAGAAAGCTAAATTTCATCCTGATCCTTCTCCCAACAAATGGTTGTATGTAACTGCTGCCTGTCCTCCCCAAACTGACAGGCAGCTCTGCTTCCCTGAAATGAGGCTGGTATTAGGTAACTGGTATCAGCAATTCTGCTGAGAGGTACCTACTTTTTCTGTCCTGTATGTTTCCCGAATGCAATGCCAAATCCCATTGTAATGCCTCTCGGTCTGAATTCTCACCTAGGAATACAGGGGCACCTTTAAAATGCAGGCACCAGATCAAAAAAAAAATATCAACAAATGTCATAGCAGCAAACTAGTTAATTAGCCCTAAAATAGCATCCCCAAACAATTTACTTTTCTTTTTTAAGAAAAAAAAAACACAACCAAATAAAGTGAAATATGTTGATGTAACAAAGATGAAAGCATTATCATGGGACTAATTTCCTAAAAAGCGGGGGGAGGGGAGCAAAAGGGCCTGTTTATTTTCGGTCTGTAGTCAAGAAATAAAGCTCCAACCCATACCTTCACTGTGTCCAGCGGATAACCCACTGCTGTGCTTAGACCACCTGAAACAGAGAGTGTATTGGAGACGGTTAGCAGTGCACATTGCTGCCCTGGTTTTGGCTGGGAGAGAGCTAATTTTCTTCCTGGTAGCTGGTATAGTGCTGTGTTTTGGATTTAGGATGAGAATGATGTTGATAACACACTGATGTTTTAGTTGTTGCTAAGTAGTGCTTACACCAGTCAAGGACTTTTCAGCTCCCCATGCTCTGCCCGGTGCACAAGAAGCTGGGAGGGGGCGCAGCCAGGACAGCTGACCCGGACCGGCCCAAGGGCTACGCGGTACCGTATGGCGTCATGCCCAGTATGTAAACTGGGGGAGTTGGCCGGGAAGCGGGCACTGCTGCTCGGGGATGGGATGGGCGTTGGTTGGTGGGTGGTGAGCAATTGCATCCTGCATTGCTTGCTTAGTATATTACTATTTTTTATTAGTAGTATTATTATTATTATTACTACTACTACTACTACTACTATTTTACTTTACTTTATTTCAATTATTAAACTGTTCTTATCTCAACCCATGAGTTTTCTCACTTTTCCGATTCTCTCCCCCATCCCACCAGGGGCCGGGGAGTGAGCAAGCGGCTGTGTGGGGCTTAATTGCTGGCTGGGGTTAAACCACAACAATTGCGACAGCCCGTTTTCCCCCATCGTGGCAAGTCATTAGGGGAATGGCAGAAAAATGCAGCTTCAGAGCCCTGCTGTTCTTGGCACCAGACTTCTCTCAAGCTCCAGCAATGACATTTGAGCCAAGAATGACAGAGCAAAACGTGCAGATTTCTCTGCATGACCAAGGCACGCTCAGAGGAGGAATCCAAGTGTCAGGGGAAACTTATCAGGAGGAATAACACCATGATGCAAGCTGGGATGGGGGGAAACACAGAAAGCACTGCTGCGAGGAAAGCTCTGTACACGCTGCCAGCTCTGTGAGCTCTGAGCAGCCCTCTGAAAAGGGACTCAGCAGGAGCGTTGAAAGGTTGACTTGTACAATATCAAGCTGTTTCTGTTCCCCCTCTCAGCTTAGGTGGTACAGCACCTTTGGACTCTGACCAAGCACCCTCAGGTGAGGTGCAGAGCATCACCACTCACACGAAGGGTCTCTGGAGCAATTTTGGTTCTCCATGCTTGCCTTGGAAATACTAAGGAATAAAGTCAGTGGTCACAAGGATATTAATAAAAGAGGGGTGGTCCTCAGGCATTACAGGTTCTCAGAAATTTGTCTTGCTTCTTGAAGGCAGGAGAGGTACTGCTGCTGCCTTCCACATGCCAGGGACTGGATGCATCCTGGCTGCACTTTACAAAGCACATCTACAGCCCTGGATGAGGAATCAGGGTCCATGGCACCATGCTTGACTAAGCCTCTGAAGTGCATCTCCTACGTGCGCCAAACACTGCTGCAAAAGCCTAGCAAGGAGCAAAAAGCAAAGGTTGCTTGGAGCCCTTGCAGGCTGATGTGACACCAGGGCCAGAGGGCATGTGCAGGCACAGCACAACCAGCGGCGCAGCTCTGCGGTGAGACCACCAGCCCTCCGCCGCTCGGGGCTCAGCAGGATTAAGGGGCAGCGAGGGATTAGCGCTGGGCATGCACAAAGCCAGCGTGCTCAGCAGCACGCCCTGCACACCAGCTGACTGCAACTCCCTGCCTGCGGCAGTGACGGCATGCCCAGCATGCTGGGGGCGGGGGGTGTGTGTGTGTCAATCCTCTATCAACAGCCAGGCTCATTTTGAGACCTTAAAATAGCCACTGGAGTTAGAAACACAATAATCCTATGAGACAAAGTTACTGCCTTAATGGCAGACAAGGAGAGCAAAAGAGCTCCAACATGGACTTCTCCTGGTTGCAGTAGCAAATAGATCACCATACCTGCCTTTACCTCCGCTGCATTTCTCAGCTCTGATCTAAATGCAGATACAACAGATGCCAAAGAGGCTGACTGGCTAACTTCCTCCCAATACATGAACTGCCCAGTCATCGGAGAGGAAATCAGGCTGGGCGACGACGGAGCCGTACCCATGTGAGTTATTTAGACAGAGATCAAGTTCATAAAAGTGCTGGATGAGCCCTGCAGGGAGCCAGGTAGTCATAGATACAGTGCACATCTGGTGGCTCACAGGTTGGAAACTGCCTCTCACTGAGTCGTTCTTTAAAAAAAATAAAACCCAAGATACTTAAAAATGTATTAATTGCTGTGGGCATTTCACTAGGCATGCTCACCTGCGATTACACGGATGCTTGGGCGGTCTGGAAAGCTCTACTATGTTTTGGAGTAAAGCAGCAGCTGCTGGTGTGAGTCACCAGGAGACAAGCCTGAAGTGCATTACTCAGAAGAAAACAACCAACAGCATCTTGCTTGAAGAAAAATGAGGCTTGTTCTAGAAAAATCTCTATCAAATCTGCCACCAGATAAATAGCAATGAAGATGAAAAACAGGCCAAGAAGCCATCTTCCGTATTTCAAAACCAAAATGAGATCACGTTGGTAGAGAGACGCGAGGGGGAATACGCAGGCAGAGTCATACGGCTTGAAGGAGCAATGCCTCTGGTCTGAGCAGAGTGACAACACACAAAGTCACCCGGGGCCACCTGTACTGTCCCAGATTCCTGGCCATCGGCCAGAGGCAGACTGCAAACACGGTTCCCACCAGCCAGGGAAGAGCAGCACATAAGTCAATGTCAGCGTGACTGTGCTGACCTCAGAGGTGCGGTCCCCTGGCCCAAGAACCTGTCCCAGATGGGAGGATTTGGCATCGCATCAGTTTCAGCCTTCCTGAACCTTAGAGGCAGCGGACGCGGGCTGACCAGATGCTGGCAAAACAGGGGCACCATGTGCCTCGCACATCTAAGCCCTGGCTTGTTCCACCAGCTCAGGAAGGTAGGAGCCTTGGCTCATGTACATCAGATACCAAGGCTGTTTTGGGTCACTGTTCAACAAGAAGTGTCCTCCTTTCTGGAGAAATTGCCCTGTTCACACATTGAGATGCAGAGGCAGCAGCAACATAGACAAAATAAAGAAGGTTTGCCCCAAACCAGGCTGTTTCCCATTGTTTCTCAGTTCTAGGGGCTCACCTTGGTGCCAGCAAGGACCAAACATCTCCACTTGGGAGGAGACCATAAGGGTAAATTCTTCACTGTTTCCACCAAAGTGGAGATGTGAGCACTTCAAACCTCCAAACAACCACAATCTGCCGTGAACTGCAGTCCTTAAGAGTCAAAGCACTCCAAGCAGTTATGTTTTCAGAGCTGAGGAGCTCAGCCAAGTCCATCAAAGGCTGAGGAAGAAAGGCTCTGCACAGTGTCATGCGATATAAATAGCCTGGGACAAAGATAGCATGACCCACACATGCCCTGTTTGCACAGCAGAATCAAACAAGGCCAGCAATGTATAGCATGCATACAGGAGAGGGATCTGTGGGACTCCTGCTGTGTAACACTGCACCAGCTGTGATAACAATAAATGGTAAAACCAGGTGAATGATCTTGGTTGGGTTGTAGTGAGCCATTTTTTATGCCTACTTTATCTGAGATGTTCTCGGGTACTGTGCAGAGGTTGCGGCATCCCCTACACACACACACACACAGTGCAGGGTCAAAACTGGATTACTCACAGTCTCTTCACAAGTCAGGCCACTTCGACCAGACAATTCAAATAAGGAGGGATCCTGGCAGGGTGGCCACCACAACGGCAAGCACCAAAGAGCAAGCAGCAGCCGTACAGAGCCCACCGGCCTGCAACAGCTCCGAGTTGCTGGCAAACACCTGGCTGAGAGACCCAGGGAGAAGCAGGGATCACGGTCCATGCACTGGATGGGTAGACAGCAACTTCCAAAGACCATTACTTTGTAAAGAGCTGGGAACATAAGTGCCCCATCTCCTAAACAAGCTGAACTCCATCCAGTAACGTGACCATGGCAGTGGCCAGCAGGAGCTGCTTTAGCTGTAAGGACAAGGAGACAGCATGTTCCCTCCATAGGTGGACTATTTTATCTACCCTTGGACTGCATGTGACTGGTGTGTAACCTTGCAGCAGTATGTAGAGAAGCCTGGGCCATGCTGCAGACCCTGCTGCTCTACCACCACTGAGGGAACCTCAGCTTCCCCTTCCCAAATCTGTGCGCCTGGCACAAGAGCCAAGTCATCCCCTAGTTACCGATAGCCCTAATCGTCAACACCTATCCCCTGCCATGGCCCAGGCTGCTGCTGTAGCAGGGCTAGAAAACACGCATGGGATCATAGGAAAATTCAAGTTGAAAGGAACCTCAGGAGGTCTCTAGTCCAATCTCCAGCTCAGCTTTATTGGCCAGAAAGGACATCCTTATAGATGAGCTGCTTTCGAGGACATCCAGCCCCATTTGGTGGTTATTGAAAGTTTCCACAGTCACTAAGCATGTTTCTCTCACGTTGTTTCCATCTGGAGTCACAGCAGGTCACTGTTTCCTGGGCTGAAGATGCTGAGCTTGTCCCATGGCCACAGAAGCAATAGCTCAGAGGAGATGCACAATATTTGTGCAGGTGCCTGAGCCAGGCTGGATCATTCCATGGGATTCAAAAGGGCAGCATCTCTGCTCTTTTTCAGAGGTGCTTAAGCCATGCTTTGTTCAAAACACTCTGAAAACAGATCAAGGTCACAAGAACATAATTTACTGAACAGAAACTCTGTTATTATCTTTGTTGCCTCTTGAGTTGTCTGATGCACTTTAGCTGGGTTTTCAGCCTGCTTGGGAACGCAAAAACTGCTTCAGCTCCAACAAACATAAGCCATGAAATAAGCTTAGCACCAAAAACATCCCAATTCTCACAGGAAAGCTGTCCCACTCCTGGAAGCTGTCCCATGTCAGGGTAGGGACCATGGCCCTGAAGCCCTGCCCAGGTACCATGCACATGTCCACAGGCAAGCTCCCAGCAGGGAACAGCGTGCCAGAAAATACTCCGTCTGCCAGTGAAAAGTTGCATTATCCCCCTTAGAAAAGCCCTGAGCTGGACACAGATGACAGGGTGGAAAATCTTGCTCCCAGACACCCTGAGGTCAGCAAAGCATGTTAAAACAAGCAAAGACATTTCTGGTTCCAGCTGGAGCTCCCCAGCCTGCATCCTCCCAGGCTGAGCCTGTTTCCAGGGCACCCATGGGAGACACTTGCTGCATGGCCAGGTGGCACACAACACTGGCACCGCACAAACCACGGCTTTGCATGGGAGCAGGGGCAGGAGGCTGAGGAGAATGGCCACTCTGAAACTGTGTTTTCAACTCTCCACTTTCCCTTGCAAAAGAACTTTATCCTTAAGTGGCTCAGCTCCAACTGTGCCAACAAAAGCAAAGAAGTCCAAGCAGTGAATGCAATCGTCGCTGCCCCACTACTAATGTGAAGTCTCAGAGGAGTTTTGGTGAATTCCTCCGGGGTGGACATCCCATCGCCAGCCCCAGCACAGGGCTCCCATCGCCACTGGGTGCTCTGAAGTCCACAAGGAAAGAGGAGGAGAAAGGCAAGCTGTTGTGGAGAGGTTGGTTATATCCTGCTCTCCCAGGAAGGATCCTTCCTGAGTAGAGTCCCCCAGTACCGCGGGAAGGCCAACACTCGGAGCAACAGGCATCTCCGGAGCTGGATGCTGCTGAGATGCCAAACCTCACCCCACTTGCACATTTTGGGTGATGAGCAATAGGGGGCCACAGGGTAAAAGTCATCGTGGTCCTTCCCAGGAAACACACATCTGCACCAAGACCACAGGCTGCTCCCGGTGAAGGAAACTGCCAAATTTCCACAGATCTCAAAGTGAGATCTGCCATGCAGGCTTGGGCTGGGCATCTCAGCCACCTGGCAGCTTTACCTGGCCTTTCTGGCAGCGGGGACCCCAAGGCTCTTGTCTTGGTATTTGATACTCTGCTAAATCTGACAAGATTTCTGCAAAGAAATGAGACCAGTGGCTACATTTTGTTGTTTAAAACAAAGTTGGGTTTGAGCAGTACATGCTCTAAAAATGTCTAGAATTAAATCACCTTTTATCATTTTACTTTTTTTTTATATAGCTAACCTACTTTCTCCCAGATCAAAGCCTGCTACGTAGCATGCCTGCACTGAAATTACCATCACAGCTGCAAATACATTTTAACCTAAGATAATGCAAAGATCGTTCATTCAAACCTTCTTCACTGCCAAAAGACCCATGCCTCTGCCCCTCCTGTCTCACAAATCGCGTCCTCAGCCCTCCAGAGCCATGACCCCAACAGCCTGCCAGGACCCCCAGGCACCAGACACACGAGGTTTTGCTGTCCAGGCAAGACTCATCAGTTTGTATCTGCACACAACATATTCCACTTTGTCTCTTCCTATCAGAGTTTTGCCCTGTCCCGCTGCAATTAGACTGGAGGAGACTGCAGGGCAATGACCTCAGCCGACCAAATTGCAGCGCTGCCTCCCCAGTAGCTCTGTGAACCTGCTCTGATGACATTTTCCATCTAATGAAGAAGAATACGCTTTTAACAAGCAGCCCCCATCAGCTCTGCCATTGAGACCTGCCCGTTAGCTGAACAAGAAGAAAACACAGCGATCTGCTTTCATCAACAAGCACTGCCTTATGTATTTACCTCCAATGGCACCGGCAATGAAATCCATCCAGACTGAGCCTGCTGCCTTAATTACCCTGATTGAGCGTTAGGGAGGTAGAAGAAGAGAGGATAGCAGTTTGGTCTTTCCAGAGCCCCGCAGGTCCTTCGGAGACAGTGTGATTTGCAATATCTTCCTACTGTCTTCTCTTGCCTCCGGGGATTCTAAGCCTTGTAGATACTTGATGAATTTGTATACTGGAGGCAGAGCCGGGAAGCCTGGAGCTGTTCCAGGAACACAGTGAATAAGTAATCCCGTGAAGCCCTGCAACGCTGTGCCAGAGCCGCTGTTCCCAGTGCCCTTCTGCTTGGAAAATCACAAGGGGTGGTGCCTTGCAGGGTACCTCTGGCTGTGAAGGGGCCATTCCCCATCGTACTTATTAACCCCAGAAGACAGCCTTGCACACGTGTTTGCCAGAGGACACTCTTGCCCTGCACTGTGGAGAAGTGGCACAGGTTGCTCTGTATCAGACGCCTCCTCCCCCCATCCCAGCCCACCCTTCCTCCTTCTGATGGAGCAGCCCCCTTCCCATCAAGGAAAACTCCTTGTGCCCTTCCCAAGGAATTTTCCTTGGCTTTCCTAACCCACACAGCTGACCCTAAACCTCTACCCAGATCCCCACGGATTATTACCTGCTCGTTGTGTATACACGTGGTGAAGCCCAGAAATGAATCCAACCACGTACAAAGCGTTTGCTTCCCTTTCAGACCACAGGGTAGTTTTCCCAGCCCCTGGAGGAGCTATGCGTCTTCACTTCATGCTCAGTCTCCCAACGCCCTTTCCAAGGTCAGCTCCCTGCTGAGTTCAGTGGCGAAGCAGGAATCGCTATTGCTGCTGCCCATGCTCCAGTGTTTTGTCCTGCAGGGGAGATGGGAGATGGATTTTGCCAGGAGACTGGTCCAGCACCTATTTTTTTCTTCCTAATTTACACCCAGCACAGGGTGGTGATCTCAGCAGGGGAAAGAGAAAAGCATGGAGAGAGACCTGCTGGTCAAGGGGAACCAAGAGCTCCAGAAAAGTGCCATATTGCCTATTTTTTCACAATAGCCCTGTACCAGCAGGCTGCCACATCTACACCGCAGAGGTTAAGTTTTGCCCGGAGTAACCTGGAAACCGAAGTCCTGATGCAGTGAAGGGTTTGCCAAGTCGTGACCTGAATTGTACTCCTCTTGAAGAGGTTTCCCCGGGTCAGAGCCAAGGCACATTGGCAGCAAAGGGAAAAGAAAATTTCACGGCTGCTGCACCCCGGGTCAGCTTCACAGAGGAGCTGAGGACTTTAGTCCCCCGTGCTGTCTCCCGTACATTTCACAAGAACATGTTTCTCACTGAAGTACATATTTTGGGTAGGCTGATGTGTCAGTGACATACAGCACAGCTCAGTGTAAGGGCTCAGAGTTTCTAGGAACTGAAAATTAAAGGATTTTTAGCAACTTGCTTCACATAATCTCTTAGATGTCCTTCCCTGAACACTTTCTGTGCTGGAGAGAACAGTTTATTCCAATGTAACATCATGCAAGGACAGCAAAAACTTAAAACCACAAGTAAAATATTATCTAGAGAGATAGCAATGTAGCTGCTAAAACACACTGGGTTACTCAGTAGCCCTTCCTTGTTACACCTGGTGACCATACTGGAGTTATTAACGGTTCATCAACAGGCTGTACATGCCAAGTGCGGGGAAAGGTGCTGTTTCCACTTCTCCCACCTGGATACTGTCCCTGCGGGCCCCCTCCAGCAGTGGGACTGGGTGTGGGACCTGCTGCCTCAGTGACACACGGGGACAAGGACATAGTCCCCTGCGGAGGGGCAGCCCGGGAGCCTACGCCTCCTGGTTCCTGCAGGGATCGGACAACCTGCTGAGCCACTCCAGGCCGCGCTGCAGCAGTCCCCACTGCCTTTGGGACTGCTGCTTAGACACCACTGTTTAATATTGTTTTTCTGGGAGCCGCTTCCAGGCAAAGTGAAGAAATAAATTATATTTCCAATACGAAAGTGTTGCCATGTGTTCCCTCCCATCACATGGCCAAGCGTGTCATGGGGCAGGGATTTTTCTATGTATTGCAATGACTGGTGCAATATCAGCAAGAAAACAGAGACTGGCTGGCATGTCACACTGGCTGACTAAAGTGTCGGGGCTAATAAGTATTTCCCATGAAATGTCACAAGACCAAGCAAACGTTCTACCTTCTTTAGCTAAGCTGAACAGCTCAAAGGAAATCTTCCTCCTGAAACCTTCTGAGATTGTAAAAAAAATCAACCAAACAACCAACCCAAATACCTTCCCTTTGCAACAGAAAATTAACCCTTTTTTATTCTTTTAACCTTCATTCACACCAATGCTTCTATCAAAATGTTAATTTGCTTTATATAGCACAAAGCTGACTCCAGATTCAAGTATTTTGATAACCTTCTGATAACGGTTTCAGTCACTTTGATGAGGTATACCGGGAGAAGTCACGTTTTCCACTGGATTGGAATTGCTCTGCAAACAGAGGCTGTTGAGAAGGTGGCCATCTGAAAGAAGAATATTTGGGGGCTTGAGACGTTTCACCTTGTCCCGTGAAGGTGTCGCTGGGGGCAGCCGGCTCTGGAGGAATGCACGCACACAGCTTCCTCAGGGACATTTGCCTCGACGGGGGCTTAGCAAGGTAACACGAGCCCCAGGCAAACACAGCCGCCACTCCTGTAGTCTCCAGTCCTTTGCTCCCGGTGTCTGGTCAGGACTTAGGGGCAAATAGCACCCACTGCCGCGCTCGTCAGCTGTGTGTGACCCGCTCAGCCCAGCTGCCGTGCGACGGCGGCAAGGGCAGAGCCTTCTGGAAGAGGAGCCCCATGCAAGTGTTGAAGTGTTTGCATGTGAGCAAGTACAGAGGAAGATGTAATTCAGCGTGAAGGAAACCCCGTCTGAGAAATGCAAACTGTGTTACTGCGTTTGCTGTTACTTGCTGGCATGCCCTGAACAGTACAGACCAACTCCCCGCTAAAGAGAGTGATCCTCAAGGCTCCCTTACCAGGACTCCTCCTAGAGATGTAGAGTCTTTGAGGTCTCATTGCCCTTCACGCCTTGCTGAAGGAGCTTCCTCCTTCATCCCTTCTTCCCCAGGTTTCAGAGATACACCAGCTCTCAGATACCAGCCTCATTGGAAACACCAGAATCCAGCCCCACAATGCCGCAGGTCAACAGAGACAGCCCAAAAAATCCAGCGCAAAGAAATCTTGAATTATCAGGAAGATCTTCAAGATCAAATATGAGTCATTCCTGTCACCCTTTGACACAACGTCCAAGGACTGACAGTGTTCCCTACTAGTCCAGCCTGTAAAGAAACGCCATGGTCCAGATCTATGCAGGGATGAGCAAAAGCACCTGGTCTCAACCCAGGTGGTCTTCTCAAAGCATGCCCTGGAAATGACACACGAAACGCACGCTTTGAGCCCCACAAGGGATAGTACTCCACTAGAAATAAATAACTCACAAGTCCTTTCCTCCAGTAGCAAACTGTTTAAGAGTGATTTGTTCAAAACGGGTGAATTTCACAGGGGATTTTGAGAAAGCAGACCGTGCAAGGTGCTGTCAGATGAAAAGACAGATCTGACGATATGAAGCAATCTGCAGGAAATTATGAATCTAAGTGACAGAAAAGCAAGGCAGGCCTTAATTTTGCACAGTGTGCGATGGATGAAACACTCCATTTGCCTCACAGGAGGAGGCAGCTGTCTGCCCACCCAGGCAGAGAGAACTGCTCCACGGCTAAAGCAGCAGCAGGGTTAGAGGACTGGTACAAGTGTATGAAGCAAAAGAAAAGGTGGAGAAGGAAGCTTTAGGTAGGTAAAAAATGTTAAGTAACATCTTTTAGTTGAGACAAAAAAGCAGGGGCATCTCTTTACCCCTCTCCTTCCATAGATCACTCACAGGACATTACCAACTCCATTCGTCCTGCAAAGCGAAAGAGAAGCCTGTCCTCCTTTGCCTCTGCAGCCACCTGCTAGCTCGTCGAGCCAGATTTGCTGAGAAAATGTTCCTGCCTTGTTTCCTGCCATAGCATGCTGCATTTTCTTTGCGCTATGCGATATCACCTTCACATGCATATCCATAAATTCCCATCCAATTTATTTTGGAAAAATCCTTGACTGAAGAGACTGTTCAAAGAGCGTTACCCCGCTACGTCACCGGGCTGTTTGCACATTGCGGAACAGGAAAGAGCGACACCAGCAATACTGAGCTGGCAGAGCCTGACGCTTGGCTTGCGGGGTGGTGGGTGGAAAGGGGGGTGGAACCTCCTGGCTCCAGCTGTGTTAGGATTTTCGAATCAAAAAGTGTCTCATTGTCCTTTATCTCAGGTACTAATGAAAAACCAATAATTCCAAGGACTCA